TGTTCTGTTCTCTTGTCATTTCTGCTACCACTGAGTGCCTTGACAATGTTTTCTTTCTGAAAACTGTATCTTGAGTAATTGAATTCTTAGAACTTTAACCCTGGAAGAGACATTGAGTCCAACTCATCACTTTATCTCTGGGGGAAACTGAGGCCTAAACAGTTGGAATGATTTGCCCAGAAAGTTCCAGAATTGTAAAATCTGAGCACTGAATTCAGGGCGTCTGACCCATTGTCCGTGGTAGATTCTGAACCACCATAAGAACTGCTTTTGGTAAGTCCTGACCTTCAACATATTCCTGATTTTCATTTCCTTCTGTATAAAGACTTTCCAACTAGTCTCCTAGCTCCTTCCTTCCACAGCCCATTCTCCACGGCAACAGTCAGGATGATGTTTCTAAAATGTAGATCAGAACCTACCACTCCTCTACCTCTAGACTTCAGTTCCTCTTTAGTGCACTTGGAATAAAATCCAAACTTCTTCCTGTGCCTCGCAAGACCTTCTATGGTCCAGCTCTCTTTCTGATCTCATTTCCTGCTAGCCTTCCTCTTGTAGTCGCTATGCTCCACCACAGACCCTCCCTCAGCTGGCCAGTAAGGCAGGCCTGGCCCGGCCATGAGTATTTGCTTTGCTAGTCCTTCTGCTGGGAATGCTGTTCCCCAAACCACTGCCCAGCTACTTCCTCCTCATTGTTTGGCCTTTGCTGTAATGGCCACCTCCTCACTCAGCCTCACTCTGTTGTTAGGACATCTAACATTGCCCCTAACCATACCACTCTCCATCACATGGTGTTATTTCCTTCATAGCATTTACCACCAGCTATTAATACATTATTACATTACTTACAGATTTGATTTGGAGTTTGTCATGTTTCCCAACATTAGAATATAATTTCATGGAATATAGGAATTTTGTCTTGTTTTCCACACTCCAGGCCCTAGATCAGCAAATTCCAGTCATCAGTGTTTAACAAAACATTTGTTGGATGAACAAATGAATGAATTGTGTCTGAATTTTTGTCTCATTTCCAAGCATCCTCTCTCCCTCTGTTTCTCCCCAATCCTATTACTCAACTATTCTCTCAAAAAAATTTTCTCTATTATAATCAAACTGATTTCCTTGTAAACCTGCAAGGACAAAACTTACTCTTGACTGGGAGCCTTTTAAAATTTTCTCTTTGACCAAACACCCACCCTATGCCTCTCTAACTATTTAAGTTGTATCACTGTGTTAGAGTATGAGTCACATTCAGTTTCCATGGAATCATGTCTCACAGCTTTCATTGACTGCCCTTTCTTCAAATTATGGAAAGTGACCCTTACATTTTATGTAATCTAAATACTCATATATAATCCATATTGTCTTTAATTATTTCTACATCATAATACCTGGGCACCATATCTAGGCACTTTAAGAGAGAGAGAGAGAGAGAGAAAGAGTGTGTGTGTGTGTGTGTGTGTGTGTGTGTGTGTGTGTGTTTGAAGGGTAGGGCAGTGTCTCCTCATTATTTGCAAATTCTGCATTTGCAAATTTTCTACTCACAGAAATTTATTTGCGACCCGAAAATCAATACTTGTGTCACTTTTGTGGTCATTTGTGAACATAACGTGGAATGGTGAAAAATTAGTCCCCCAAGGTTCACGTTACTGGCTGAGATGGAGCAAGGCAGCACTGTGCCTTGTTGTTTTAGCTTTCATGCAATAAACTAGTGTCCTGTTTGTGGTCTATTTAGTGGTACGTTTTTTGTATTTTGTGCTTTTTGTTGGTGATTTCACTGAAATGGCCCTGAGTGTAGTGTTGAAGCTTTGTCTGGTGTTCCTAACCACATGTAGACTGTGATGTGCCCTACAGATAAAATACCTGTGTGTTAGATAAGCTTCCTTCAGGCATGAGTTACGGTGCTGTTGGCTGTTAGGTCAATGTCAATGAATCAATAGTATATGTTAAATGTAAGGTGTCTTTAAATAGAAATACACATAAAACAGGATTATATAATGGCTGGTTAATGAAAATGTGACCAGAGGCTCACAGGAACCTAACTCTGTATTTCCCCTAGGAACAATAATTTCACATTTCCTAAGTTGGTGTTCTGTTCATGAAAATTTTAGAGAACATAACTACTGTGAATAACAAGAATTCACTATATGGTGTGTGAGTATATATATGTTGGCATTAGCCTCATTTAGGAGTTTAGGAGACAAAGACATCAAGACTTATTGAAATTAACGTTTGTCCAAGGCTAGGTGCGGTGGCTCAGGCCTGTAATCCCAGCACTTTGGGAGGCCGAGGTGGGTGGATCACCTGAGGTCAGGAGTTCAAGACCAGCCTGGCCAACCTGGTGAAAGCCTGTCTCTACTAAAAATACAAAAACTATTTGGCCATGGTGGCAGGCGCCTGTAATCCCGGCTACTCGGGAGGCTGAGACAGGATATTCGCTTGAACCTGGGATGTGGAGGTTGCAGTGAGCCGAGATCATGCCGTTGCACTCCAGCCTGGGTGATAGAGCAAGTCTCCATTTAAAAAAAAAAAAAAAAAAAAAGAGAAGAAGAAGTTTGTCTAAGATCATTTGCCAAACTGCTAAATAAATGGTAGACCTGAAATCTGGCTGCCACATTCCGAAGTCTTTTGGCTTTTCATTTACCACCCCAGTGGCTTTTCTTTGTTTTAATTAGCTATTGAGCTCTGATTATTACAGGATACTTCTACAGACACACACATACACACACACACACACACACACACACACACACACAGAGTCATACACCTCATAAAGATGTGGGTCAGTGACAGGCCACATGTGTGATGCTGGTCTCTTAAGATTATACCATGATTTTACTGTACCTTTTCTATGTTTAGATATGTTTAGATACACAAATACTTGCCATTGTGTTACAGTTGCTTACAGTATTCAGTAGAGTAACACGGTATATAGGATTCTAACCTAGGTACCATAGAGCCTGGGTGTATAGTAGGCTGTCCCATCTAGGTTTGTGTAAATACACTCTATGATGTTTACACAATGATGAAATCTCCTAAGGAATGTGTGACTGTGTATATGTGTATTTATTTGTATGTGTGGATATATGTATGTGTGTGTATATACATATGTATATGTGTAAAATATAAGTGGAATATGCTGAGTTGAATGAAAAACTACAGAAAAGTCAAATGAAGATAATTTTAAAACAGCTTGCTTCATAAACCTAGGTTAGTGTTTATTTACAGTCATCCCAAACTACAAAAGAGAAGTAAAACTCCCTCTTTGTTTAGGAACAATATATACAAACGTCATCTTTTTTATCATGGAAATGTAAGTCTGACAGATGGCCAAACCCTAAAAATTCAAAGCTATAAAATTGCTTCCATAACCTGGACTTGTTTCCTGGCCTGTGGATGTACATCTTAAACTTGCCTGTCATTTATCTGAGCTGAACTCACACCTGCGCATGGTATACAGTTAGGCATGCTTAGGTCTAATTTCCTAAAGAACTACAACCTTTCTAATCAGTTACGCATTTATATATACAGAGATGACAGGAGGAATTAGATCCTGAAATCTGTGCATAACAGGTTCACATGGATGAATTCACTGACTTTGTGGTCTAAAGTGATTTATATATACACACATATACACTGATATATATGTGTGTGTAAATATATACATATACATTAAGACATATTTTTACATACTTTGTAATTTGTTTTCATCACTTAAATATTTTTGGAACTTTCAAAGCACCTTGATGAACACAGTTTGAAAATGCTGTGTTTTTTTTTCTTCTTCTTGTGTTCTTCTTTTCTAAGTAGATTGTATGAGCTCCCTAAGGGTAAGAATGATATCTTTTGTGCTTCTGTATTTGCAAATAGATCTTAGCTTAGTACTAAAATATAGAGAAGTCTCTTACCACTGATAATCCAGTTTTGTTCAGATGGTTGATAACAAGCTACATTAAAGCAAAGATTTCTGCAGCATTGCGTATAGAATTAAATAGTGTAATGGAAGGATGTCACCTGGTTGTGGGGAGCAAGAGTCTCTCCATGCATAAAATAGATGTGTGTTTTTTTTTTTTTTTTTTTTGTTTTTTTTTGAATAATTTGGTTTTTTTTTTTTTTTTTTTTTTTTTTTTTTTTTTAATTCGCTTGTCAGGATGAGTGGCGATTCACTCTGCTCCGCTGGTAGCATTCTCTGTCACCTCCGATAGCTGGATACAGGCCCGCCCCTCGCCGCTAGTTTTTTTTTTTTTTTTTTATAGAGACGGTTCCGGTTAGCCAATGTCTCGATTCCTACTGTGATGCCGTCTCGGCTCCAAGTGCTGATACACTTGAGCAGCCGTACTTCTCAACTTTCAAAAAGCTTCCAGGGATAAGGTTGAGTGAGGGGCTTCCAACATTGAGTCAAGACAAAATAACGTTTTATGTCTGCCTCAAGGCCATAGTACGAACACTGAACAGTGTTACAGAAAGGGACTAAGGGATCCTTAAAAGTTGTGTCATTATTGAGCTGAAAGAACTAATAGGTATGAGCTTTGAATTCTGAAATCACTCTTATTTCAGTATTTTGTGATATTTTACATTCTTTTAATTAAGTGGCTACATGTCCAGTGACTTTAATGATCCTATCTTGAGGAGCTATGCCTTTCACAAATCAAAGTATCAAAATTGATCTATTTTTCAGCAATTTACCGTACAGTTGAGTTTCATTGTGCAGATAAAATTGGATTAACCACGTGACCCCACCTGTGGCTTTGCTGGCTCAGTCACTTCTCCACCTGTGCAAAGGACATCTGCATTCAAAGATGGCGACCCAATGGCTTTGTCCTGCCAGGGTTCAGTAAAAATATCTACATTTTAAAAAATAAACCCCTCTCAGAATTTGTTTAGCAAATTCCCAGCCCCAGAAGAATGCACATGCAGGAGAAGGATTCCAGCCTTTTTAGCCTCCCACTCATGCTTATTTTTCAGTGGAGATTATTGAAAACAGTAATTCTTTCTTGCTTCAGGAAAAGCTGTCAGAGGAAGAGAGAAAACATAAGGAAGCTTTGGAAGATCTTCACATGGTGGTTGATGAGGATTCGAGGAGTGAAAGCAGCAGTACAGATGAGGGGAAAGAAAAGACCAAATTGCTATTAGAGAGATTGAAAGCTCTGGAGGTAAGAAATGAAGCAATTTTTACACTCTTCAAGAAAAATAAGTGTTCTGCTTCTTTTATTGGCACTGGTTTTCAGTGAGTATAAATCTTCCCTTTTCAGTTCTCCCACACTAATACAATCTATCATTTCCTACTGAGATTTGCCTACGATGAACAAAAAGTTAGCACTGAAAGGGTCTTGACTTTATATTGTTTTAAAAGGAGTACATAGGGCAGTAATTGATTTTAACTTAAATTCAGCCCTCAAACTGGATTAATTCCTAAAATTGCAAGCTCCTTGAGGTAAGGGGCTATGTGATATTTTACTTTGTTTTCGCGAGTAACTGGTAGAATGAATGAATGAATGAATGAATGAATGAATGAATGAATGACTAAGCAAAATATTTAATAGTATGTAAAGATGATTGGACACACACAGAGAGATGTTAAGCAGTATAGTCATGTCTTTAAAAAAATATGCAGGAATTAAACGTGTAAAGCATCTAACAGTGGAACTGAAACTGGCTAAGGAGACTTAAGGAGATTTTTGGAGCACTGACATTCTCCAGATACCTCCAGATCAGTATATGATGACACTAGTCTGTTACTTAGTGGCATTTGACATGATTTCAAGTGTTAATTCTTGAATTTTACAGCAGTCATGAAAGACCATTCCAGTTACTAGTTCTTGATTGAAATGTCGCATGCTTAAAGACTCAGCAAAGATTTTTTTTCTATGAGTTCACTTACCTCCTTTCGATAAGCTTATAAAGGGCCTTCACCCAGCATCTAAAAACACAGTTCTACCATAGAGTCTACGGAATCCTGAAAACTCTACTAGCATAAAGGAATAAGACCTGGAGGCCGGGCACAGTGGCTCACGCCTGTAATCCTAGCACTTTGAGAGGCTGAGGCAGGCGGATCACGAGGTCAGGAGATCGAGACTATCCTGGCTAACACGATGAAACCCCATCTCTACTAAAAATACAAAAAATTAGCTGGGCGTGGTGGTGGGTGCCTGTAGTCCCAGCTAGTGTGGAGGCTGAGGCAAGAGAATGGCGTGCACCTGGGAGGCGGAGCTTGCAGTGAGCAGATTGTGTGCCACTGCACTCTAGCCTGGGTGACGCACTCAAAAAAAAAGAAAAAAAAAAAAGAAGACCTGGAGGGGTCTGGTTTTCTATGCTTGGTTTCTGCAGTGCTACCTCGGATCTACCACATTGTCTGTAATGAGCATATCCATTTTACAATAATTTCCTCGGTGATAATAAAGCAGAATGGTGAGATGATGCACTTTGAAGCCCAGTTCTTGGGATCTGGTTTGAATCCCTGTTCAACTACTTTCTAGCTTTGAAACCATCAGCGTTACTTAGGCTCCCCATGCCTCTGTTCCCTCAGCTGAAAGCATGGGGACAGTAATAGTAACTAGCTTTACAGGGAAGTAATGAGGATTACATGAGTAATTATTTTTTAAATGATGCCTGGTGCATAGTCTCTTTTATTCATCCATACCAAACCGACTCCTTTTCCTTAACTTTGTTCCTACTTATCTGGGCACAATGATTAATAATATAAGGACTGTGAATGAAAGAGTTTGGCTACTCCACACAGGTGTGACCAAAGGCAGACAGGTAAGCCAGTAGCTTCAAACACAGAGCAGAAGAAATATCAACTAAAGTAATCACTAGTAACTCCCTCTTGGCAAAGAGCTGGGAATCAGCCTTGTCTCCTCAAGGGTTCTCATTCTTTTGTCATTTTATGAAGATAGTCACTATAAAAGATAGGAAAGCCTTCTCAAGGGAAACTGAGGTTCCTATTTGAGTTTTAAGAAACTCATAGCTTTGTCTTGAGGTTGAATTAAATAGATTCACAATAGGAAAGAGTCGATATTACCATTTCTTACTCCCAGAGAACCAAGTACGTAAATCATTAGTTTTTGTTTATGGCTACAGAGAAAATTAATCTTAGTTCATGGCATTGTTAGAGACAAAAATGAAAAGGACGTTTTACTTCATTAAGCTAAGAGGTCTTTAAAAAATGTATTTCCACACCAGTTAGAATGGTGATCATTAAAAAGTCAGGAAACAACAGGTGCTGGAGAGGATGTGGAGAAATAGGAACACTTTTACACTGTTGGTGGGACTGTAAACCAGTTCAACCATTGTGGAAGACAGTGTGGCAATTCCTCAAGGATCTAGAATTAGAAATATCATTTGACCCAGCCATCCCATTACTGGGGATATACCCAAAGGATTATAAATCATGCTGCTATAAAGACACATGCACACGTATGTTTATTGTGGCACTATTCACAATAACAAAGACTTGGAACCAACCCAAATGTCCATCAGTGACAGACTGGGTTAAGAAAATGTGGCACATACACACCATGGAATGCTATGCAGCCATAAAAAAGGATGAGTTTGTGTCCTTTGTAAGGACATGGATGCAGCTGGAAACCATCATTCTCAGCAAACTATCGCAAGAACAGGAAACCAAACACCGCATGTTCTCACTCATAAGTGGGAATTGAACAATGAGAACACTTGGACACAGGAAGGGGAACATCACACACCAGGGCCTGTTGTGGGGTGGGGGGAGGAGGGAGGGATAGCATTAGGAGATATACCTAATGTAAATGACAAGTTAATGGGTGCAGTACACCAACATGGCACATGTATACATATGTAACAAACCTGCACATTGTGCACATGTACCCTAGAACATAAAGTATAATAAAAAAAATGTATTTGGCAGCAAATATTTCTTAAACTGTAGTGAGTAAAAGAGAAGCAGTATCTTTTTTCCTTACATAGAGTTCTTCACATTTCAGGCAACAGCTCTTGATTCCAGCACTAGTTGAATGCAATAGATAATATCTGTAAGTGCCATTAAGCCCCACTATTTTCTTTCATAAAACTATTTTATTTTTTAAATTTCCTATAGTCGTAGTGTCTCTGCTTGTTTCCTAAAATTCATTGTTCAATATTAAATGAACTTTCTTCTTGCCTTCACATCTTACTGTCTTCTACTTGAACATTATTTCATTTTATAACAAAGTATGTAAAATAAGAAATACAAATATATGTTTGTAAATATATCTAAATATGTCTTCTTATATAATATATAGATGTCTTTTTGTCATACATGTAATTCAATTTTCATGTGAATTTTATATGCTACTTATTTTTTTTATTTTAAAATATTTTCTCCATATTCTCAGTGTCTAGTATCTTTGCATGAGTTAAACATCGTTGTGGGAAAATAGAGAACTGATTTTGACAGACTGCAGTCAGAGCTGGTCACAGACCCCATGTGGATTTTTATGCTTTAACGAAATGCTCCCTTGGAAGATTGCAAGGGAATTAATTATAATGTGTCAAAAATTACTTTGGCAAAATTTGATATACAAGATTTAAAAAAAAAAAAAAACAGAGAATATTTTCCATCAGTGTGTTTTTGGAAGGCAGCTAGGCTCACCAATATACCACCAGCACCCCATCAGCGTGTTTTTGAAATGACCGTATTTGTATACCCTAATCTCTTGGCCCCTGGTGTTGTAGATCACAGAAAGGAATGATTTTCAGGGTGGTGGAAAGCAGTCTTCTTTAATTCCTCCTCCCCCAACAGGTTCCAAGAAGGTGTAGAAAATGAAATACAGATATGACTTCTATATTACGTTCTTTATTACTGTGACAATGATATTCAAAAACAACTTGAGGAGCCCTTGACTGACAAAATTGAGTTAATATTGTCTCAGCAAAACACCCCCAGCCACAACCCCTGGATTATTCCCTCTTGTCACCATTTCTGGGGCAAGTTCCTACTCACATTCATCAATCAATTCCTCTTTCTTCTCCACGCACCAACCACCTGGGAAACAGCGCCCCCTATACTTGATTTTTCCCAACTCCAACCCTAGGAAGGATATGGGGTTATGGCAGAACATTCTGGAGGCTAAGGGCCTTCAACTCTGTCTTTTGATAGTTCTGTTTCCTCTCAGTCCTTTGGTTGCAGGGTATTTCTCAGTAGCCTTTCTCCTCAGTTTCCAGATCCCGCCTTAGAACGTGGCCAGCTCTGTCCCACTTACTCTCCTCTCCCTCAGCCACCTTCTCCCACAGCCAGGTTCTGTCTGTCTTTTAATTTGCGGAGCTGTCTAGATCTCTGCATGCCACGTCATGGGCTCATTCCATACCATCCCCATGCTCGGCAAAATATTGTGCTAATTAAGACCTTTACCTTCCTAAAAACGCCTCCAGTGCCAGCAGTCAAAATTATAAAAATTATAATTATACACTCTCTCTCTCGTCAGCCTTATTTTCTGTACTGAGTGCACTGGTTTCAGCTGTTGCCAGCTCTTCGTGGTGAAGAGTAGACCGTTTACCCTCACTACCCAGCCACGGCTTCCTCTGGGCTTAAATTCTAATTTGTGTTTAGGGTCCTGGTGCCTGGAGGAGAAATCATTTGGTGTATATTGGTGTCATAGGGCACACATGGGCAATCTGGATGGCACTTGCACATTTTATGTAACTTCTCAGTGCCTGAATTTAGCATTTTCTATGTTTTTTAAAACTGGGTTTTCAAGGCTGCTGTTTCAGAGACTGCTTACTTGACTTAGAACAAAGCTCACCATTCTCAACAGCACTGCCATGTCTCAGGTCCCTTCTATGAAAGGATCACTCCTTTCTCCCATGCCACCAGAGGCCACTGATTCAAGGAATCTTCCCAGACCTGCCCTCCAGTATTCACTGGCTTCATCTGGAGTCTTCCCTGTTCTCCACTCCTGGGCATTTGCCCCACTCGGGTCCCAGATTTGCTCGTGGCATGTTCCTTGAAAGACATGATTTGTTTGTCTGCGGTCCCCGCTCCTGACACTCCCACGGGGCCCATCTCTCCACTCAGGGACCAACTGCACACCTGACTAAAAGTGAAGCTGGACGTTCCCTTGACTCACTCCCAACTCCCACTGCATCTCTGATTCTCAGCTTCTAACCATGGGGAGAACAGGCCCGCCACCACCTGAGA